AAATTATATATATATATATATATATATATATGAACAAGTATTCAGGGAATACTTGGGTGTTTTTCTAAACTTACAGTAATTCCAACACTCAGTTGGAAGTGGGGGGCACATAATATTCTACTCTGGCAAAATTTAGAGGTAACCTGGGAAAAAATCCATCAAGTGCCTTGTAGAAAATCAAATGGGCAAAAGCATAATTGAAACCAATAAGATGGATAATGGAATCATTCAGGCTTGGATCTGAAGCCCAGATCTGCCACTTAATAACTCTGTGGACTTGGGCAAAGTACTTCACTTTTTGGAAACTCAGATTCCTGACGTGCAAAATTGGGGATGATTGGATTTTCTATGCCTATTTATTTTGAGGTTAAATGAGATAAGGAATATAAATTGTTTATCACAATGTCCGGCTTATAGTAAGCACTCAACAATGTTAGTTTCCTTATTTCTCTCTCTTTTTTGATGCATGCTTTCCTGATTTCCATTTAACCTATTTTGTGCATTTATAGAACACTGACTTTCTATACAGTTTGATTGATTTAATAGTCCAATTTTGATTAAAAATGAGTGAGGGAAGAAACCCTGGGGTGGCTCAGTCAGTTAAGCGTCCAACTTTGGCTCAGGTCATGATCTTGGGGTTCATGAGTTCAAGGCCTTAGTCGGGCTCTGTGTTGACAGCTCAGAGCCTGGAGCCCGCTTCAGATTCTGTGTCTCCCTCTCTCTCTGCCCCTCCTCAGTTCATGCTCTGTCTCTCTCTCCTTCAAAAATAAATAAACTTTTTTTTTTTTTTTTTTTTTTAAGTGAGTGGGGCAGTGTTCCTTGTTCTTCTATTTTCTGGAAGGGTTTTGTAAGATTAGTGTTATTTTAGAGGTTAAATTATTCTAAATCTAACACATGGAAGGAATATGAACATGGACTGGTACTTGCCATTTTTGCAAAAGATGCTCCTAATCTACTGAGGAAGTCGGAAACATGCATGTGTAGCTACAAATCAGACCAGGATAAGTGGAACAGGTTGACGAAACATTGGCGGTAGATGGTATCTATTATGTGCCAAGCACCATACAAGGTGGCAGAGACTCAGAGGTAAAGAGGATGCAATCGTGAAACTTTAAGGCCCTTCACTTAGCATAAGAAGAGACATATGGGCACACAGCCGCATAGGAAAGTGGGGAGCACAAGGGCTACTAGATAAAGTAATGGCACGAAGAATGTGAAATCACTTCTGTTGGAAGGGTCAGGGAAAGTTTCAAGAGGAGAAGATATCTAGGGTAGACATGTTAAAAATAACGAGGTCAGAACTTCGATAAAATGGACACATGCCTTAAAAAATACAACTTACTCAAATGGACACCGATGAAACAGAAAATCTAAATGGCCTCGTATCTCTAAGGGCAATCAAATTCATTATCTAAACTTTCCCACAGAGAAAGTTCCGGGTCCAAATGGTATGACTGGTGATTCCTATCAAATATCCAAGTAAGAAATAATGCTAATCTTACAAAACTCTTCCAGAAAATAGAAGAACAGGGACTACTTCCCTCACTGATTTTTTTTTTTAAATCAAAATTGGGCAAATAAATTATAAGGCAATCACAGACCAATATACCTGATAAACATAAACGCAAAAATCCTTAACAAAATTGTAACAAATCAAATCTTGCAACATATTAAAGAGCATTGTCTCCCATTAGGATTTATTCCAGAAACATAAGATGGGTTTATATCTAATAATCAAAGTAATTCATCCTATTAGTAGGATATATGGGAAAAAGCACCATTATTTCCATAGGTGCAGGAAAATCATTTGAAAAAAATTCTTATTCTTTTTTTTATTAAAGAACCTCTCATATTAGGAATAAAAAATGAATTTTTTCAATCTGATAACACACATCCTACAAAAACTTACTATAAACAAAATCCCTAATGCTTAATTATAAAATCATTTCCCCATAATATTGGGAAAAGGCCTGCTCAAATTACTTCTAGTCACCATTTCACTGGACATCTATCTTACTAATTGTAATAAAGCAAGAAAAAGAAAAGGCATAACTAGAAAAACCAACATGGCTTTTTTTTTTTTTGGTAACTGATGTAACTTTTTGTAATTGGTGTGCTCGTTTAAGTAGATAATCCTAAAATAATCTCTGTAACAATGGCCAGAATAATTGCATTGGGCAAATTATTATCTAGCAAATACAAGATTAACATATCCAAGTCAATTATATTTTTAGGCACCAGCAGCAAATCATTAGAAACGAAGAATTTTAAACCATTTATAACAGCATCATAAAACACAATATTTAGAAGGAAATTTTCTAAAATACGCGTAGAGTGAGTTCAATTGTGACTTCCAAAAGAGATGTCTACCTGGAACCTCAGAATGTGACCTAGTTTGGAAAAGGGGCCTTTAAAGATGTAATTACGGTAAAGATCTTGAGATGAGGTCATCCTGCAACAGGCTGTCCCCTAAGTCCAATGACAGAGTCCTTATAAGAGACGGAAAAGGAGACAGCACTGAGACCTAGAAGGAGAAGGCCATGTGAAGACAGGCAGGAAGGTTGGCTGAGGAACACCTAGGAGACTCCAGAAGCTAGGCATAGGACAGACTCTCCCTTCAAGAGTCCAGAAGGGGGGCACCTGGGTGGCTCAGTTGGTTAAGCATCTGACTTTGGCTCAGGTCACGATCTCACGGTTCGTGAGTTCGAGCCCTGCATCGGGCTCTGTGGTTCGTGAGTTCGAGCCCTGCATCGGGCTCTGTGGTTCGTGAGTTCGAGCCCTGCATCAGGCTCTGTGTGGAAATTAATTAATTCACTGATAAGAAGGAACAAATGACTTACACATGTAACAGTATGGGTGTGTCTCAAAATCTTTATACTGAATGGAAGAAACCAGAAACAAAAGAGTATATACTATATTGATTCCATTTCTGTAAAATTGTAGACATTGCCAACTAATCTATAGAGACAAAAAGCAGATCAGAGTTTGCCTAGGGCCAGGGTGAGAGAAAGACCGCAAAGGGACACACAGAAACTTTTGGAAGTGATGAAGATGTTCTGGATTTTGATTGTCATGGCTGTGTTGTGGATGTGAGTCTGTCAAAACTCATTGACTGTATATTTTAAATGGATACAATTTGCTGCGTGTAAATTATATCTCAATAAATTTGCTACACATACGGAGTAGAAAGATAGCAGCTGGACAGGGGGGAAGACAGGGCATGCAGAGAGAAGCATAGGAACAAGGCACATAGAAGACATCTACGCCTTATCTCGGAAAATAGTTTACACATTCCCTCCAGGCAGCAACCCTGTCTTGTATTTTATCTACGGTCCTCTCGGTGTCCAGAAATAAGGAGGGTAACGATGCATCTGAGTTGCATGGAATTATTCAGTATATGCCCACAGGCAGCTGTTTTGAGAGTGCTACAGGTCGACTACCAGAAGACTAGGTAGAAATCCCAGTCCTTTATCCTGCTGAGACCCACGGAAGTCATTTCACCTCTCAAAGCCAAACCTGCGTAATGAACGTAACAATATCCCCACAATACAGTTGTTGTAAAGATTAAAATAATACCTACGAGAGTCCCCAGGAATATTCCAGTACATGCTACATATGCATGAAACAGTGGGGCTTCCAAACATATTTGTTGATTGACATCCCGACTGTTATTTGCTTGTTCACATACTCAAATCTCTTATTATCTGCATACATGTTTTCCATGTCAAACGATTTTCCCAGTCAGAGACGTACTTTTACGTCACTTTGGTCAATGAAGTACTCCAGAAATTAGAGCTGATTTTTTCTCTCTCTACCTCTCTATCTATCTATTGATTTATGGGAGAGAGAGGGTGCAAGCGAGCGAGGGGCAGAG